CAATAAATGTTTACTGAGTGTGAGCTAAATGCCAAGCACTATGTGCTAGCAAACGGGAATATATAGTGCAAGATCTGGCTTTAAAGTGAACCCATCCAGAACCCGAGAATTGGGAATTGTGGTTATGTTCCTAATCTTACCTCAGACTTGTGGAGCCTTGGGTAAGCTACAGAATCACTGTGGCTTGGCTTTTTTTCTTAATCAAACTTTTTTATTTTGAAATAATTGTAGATTCCCTTGGAGTCATAAGAAATAAAAGAGAGATACTGTGTAGCTTTACTCAACTTTTGCCATGGTAACTTTTTTGCAAAATTATAGTACAATTTTACAAGCAGGAAATTGACTATTACAATTCACCAATCTTATTCAGATTTCTCCAATTTTACTTGTACTCTTTTGTGTGCGTGTGTGTTTATTTCTGTGCAGTTTTGTCCTATGTGTATGTTCATGTAGCCACTTAGAGTCAGGATACTAAACAGTTCTGTTACCAGAAACATCTCTCATCTTGCCCTTTTATAGCCATATTCACCTCCCACCTACCCTACAGCCCTAGTCTCTAACCCCTGGCAATCTCTAACATGTTCTCTATCTCTGTAATTTTGCCATTTCTGTAATATCATATAAATGGAATCATACAATGTATAACATTTGAAACTGGCTTTTTTTCCCCACTCAGCATAATTTCCTTAATATCCATGCAAGTTGTTGCATGTATCAAGAGTTCATACCTTTTTATTGCTGAGTAGTATTCCGTGGTATGAATGTACCACAGTTTAACTGTTCACCGATTAAAGGACATCTGTGTTGTTTCCAATTTTTGATAATTATAAATAAAGCTGTGAGCAGGTTTTTGTGTGAATATAAGTATTCATTTCTTTGGGATAAATGCCCAGGAGTGCAATTGCTGTGTTATATGTTCACCACATGTTTAGTTTTATAAGAAACTACCAGACTGCTTTCCAGAGGGGCTATACCATTTTACATTCTCACCAGCAATGTATGTTGATCTAATTTCTCTGTATTCTCACCAGCATTAGGTGTCATTGCTATTTTTTACTTTAGCCATTCTGATAGATGTATCACTATTCATTATGGTATTAATTTGCATTTCTCTGATGGATAATGATGTTGAACATCTCATGTGCTTATTTGCCACCTGTATATCCACTCAGTGGAATGGCTGTTCATGCTTTTTGCCCATTTTCTAAATGGATTTATTTTAATTATTGCGTTTTGAGAGTTCTTTTTATGTTTTAAATACTACTCCTTTGTCATGTATCTGGTTTGCAAATATTTTCTCCCAGTCTGTAACTGGTCTTTTCATCTTTTTCACAGAGTCTTTCAGAGAGCAAAAGTTTTTGTTTGATGAGATCCAGTTCGTTGATTTTTCCTGTTAAAGATCTGGCTTTTTGTGTCAAATCTATGAACTCTTTGCCTAGCCCAGATCTTGAAGATTTTCTCCTATTTCTTTTTTTCTAAAAGTTTTACATTTTACATTTAAACCTGCAATCCATCTTTGAGTTAATTTTGTAAAAGGTGTGAGGTTTAGTGCACGGTTATTTACTTGTTTGTTTGTTTGTTTGTTTGCCTTTGCATGTCCAGTTGTTTTAGCTCCATTTGTTAAAAAGGCTGTCCTTCTTCCATTATATTGCTTTTGTATCTTTGTCAAAAATAGGTTGGGCATATTTGTGTTAGTCTTTTTCTGGGTTCCCTGTTCTGTTCCATTAATATATGTGTTGCTCTCTCCAGTGATATCACAATGTAGTGATACAGTAAGTCTTGAAATCAGGAAGGCTGTTCACACTTTATTTTTCTTTGTCAAAATTGTTTTAACCATTCTAGAGCCTATACTTTTCCATATCAATTTTAAAATAAGTTTGTTTATAGAAAACCTTGTTGGAATTTTGGTAAGAATTGCATTAAACTTAGAGATTAATTTGGGGAGAATTGACATCTTTACTATGTTGTCTTTCAGTCTGTGAACACGGTTGTCTTGGCTTTCATACTGTCAGTCAACAGCATTCATTGAGTGACTACTAAATGTAAACTTAGGAATGTTTTTAGAACTATTTAAGCTTTAGTGAAGTAGGACATTCATACTATAACTTCATTGTTTATTGTGATTTATTTCTTAGGAGGTTGATTTCAACCAAGTCGAAGAAGTCAGCTTTACTGAGGTAGAGTGGTCATTATATAACTTTATTGTTTACCTTTAGTGTGTTTTATTTCATAGCTCATTAATTTCAAACAAATTAAATAAATTATAAAGGTTACTTTCAAGCCTTCCTTCCTACCTCTAACTCTCACTCCCATACACATACACTAAATTTGATTTACTGAAGAATGAATTCATTGTTTAATGTCTGATAACTCCTAGAGGAAAAGATACATCATGGTCAGTGACCATGTGTATTCTAATCTGCTTTTATTCTGTGATACTTATTTAGAAAGCCTTTTCTTGGAAGCCAGGGTTCACTTTTACCAGCAGTTGTTTGCAACTGCTTATTCCCCCTCAAAATTCTAATTTCTATTTGTGGCATGATGAATTGGTTGCTGTGGAGATAATTGTCTAAAACTAGATTTAAGGGAGAATATGTAGCTAAGACCCAGTTTTTATAGGAAAATCTCTAATAATAAAGATGTGGGGAAGTGGACTCTGGGAATTTGTATCTTTAAACCAAATTACTTCTAAAAAAACAAATAAGGAATTATAGTTTTTTACCAATGTGGGTCAAGGCAAATAATTAATAACTGAGGCCTAAGGGCTGCACCTCTGAGAGAGGTCTTTACCATAGAGTTGCAGATTGGAAAGATTAAATGTCACAAGTAATTTGATTGGGAAAAAAAAATAAGCTTATTGTACAAATCTAGATCCTGGTCAAAGATTCCTTCATATTTAGCATTACTTGAAGTAGAAATTTGGCTGGGTGGTTATCTTAAAGAGGGCTTATTATTTGAATTCATTCATATGTAGGAAAAGGGCAATTCTGCAAAACGCAGGGTAATAAATGACATGACTGATATTCTCCCTTCCGCCACTCTGATTCAGTACATTGACTCTCCTGATGTGGAAAAAGAGGTGAAAAGACTACTGTGTTCAGATGCTGAAGCTGTCAGTGCCCGTATCCTTTTATACTAAATATGTTCTGCATAGTCTGTTCCACCCCATATGCACTAGTTGACAAGCCCTCACTTCTGGTATTTGCATGCCAATTTTGATATGTAGAACTTAAGATTTTTGGAAATGTTGTTTTCTATCTGGGAACAGTAAATTCACATAATAGAAATTTATTTACTTGTGTAATTCAATATAAGGCTCTTCTCCATACTGGGAATCCAGATACAAATGGCCTGAAGTTGGACTAAATTAAATAGCATTTTCAGCCAGAGAGCCTTTTCCCTTTCAATGGGGCCTTCTTCTTTCTTTCTGTTTTTTTTTTTCTTTGACTACCCCTTCTTTCAGGATGGGAAGTCATTGCCGAAGGTGAATCCAAGGAAATAGAAAGTCAAGGTTCCATTCCAGATGCAAGTGGCTATAAACAGGGTCATAGCTCATCAGGTACATTAATAAAAGCAAAGTAGGAGCTTCAGAGAAGATAGGTGTTGACTGTATGTAAGACCATTCTCCATAGACTTACAGGCCAATCACAGAAAAAGGATGCCTTTGCCCTCTTTCCTCTTATTGGTCCCTCACTATTTTAGAGATTCTAATCTCCCATCAATCCCTGGTATTCTAAATTGCTATGATCCCTTAGATTCTCTAAATATCTTGATCATTGAGTACATGAATGAATGTTATGATGTTTTGCATTTCCTGTCCTTGGTTTTTGAAGAGAATAATCTTTCTACAAGAAAAATTATTTATAAATTTCATTGGCTGCCCAGGAAATTTTAAGGGAAGGAGTATAATTGCAGCTGGAGTGGGAATCATTGAAAAATTTCAGATAGTTTCACCTTCCTCTTGCTTAAAACCAGTAGAATATGATATGTTTCGGGAGAAGCTCAGTGATTCTAGCAGCAGCGATGATGAGGACGAGGATGATGATGATGAGAGTGATGATGATGATGGTGATGATGATGAAGAGGAGGAGGATGACACTGATGATGAGGATGAAGAGGAGGAAGATTATTATGAAGAGAATCTGCAAAGGGAGCTACAGGCCAAGTTAATTGGATCTGCCCACTATGAGGCAAAGGAAGGAGCCAGTTCAATAGGTAAGTTAGAAGAAAAATAAAGGGATGGGACAGAGTGGGTGGCAGTGCTAAAAATTGACTCTAAATACACATTAGATGCTAGAGTGAGTTTGAGAAGTTATTGCTTAGATGTGTAGTGGACTTTTAGTTGATTTGAAAATTGTTCCAATAGTTCAGGCTATGTTTAGATACATAAAGTTTCTGTCTGTCTCTGTCAGTCATGGAAATTCAGAAGCAGATTCATTACTTGGAGAAAAAGCTCCGAGAGGTTCAATGCAGAGCACAAAGACAGAAGGAACTCATCATGAAAGTGGAAAACCTGACACTCAAGGTAAATTCTTGGCTGTTATAAAGATATTTTGGCATCTTTCAAAATTACATCTTTGTGTTTCCACTCATGTCATCTCTTTGCAGCATTCTCGTTCACTCGTGAACTTAAACAACCTCTTAGAAACCCCTAATAATAGATATCCCTATTTCCTTTTACCTGAGTGATTTTGATCATCTCATATAAGCAGTTTTGGGGAAGTGACCAGGAGACTTGAGATAATTGCCAATATCGAGCATTTCTTATGTGAAAGAGCTAAGCATTTTACATGCATCATCTCATTTCATCTTCATATCCCTGAATACAGGTATGGTCACTATTCCAATTTTATAGATAAGGAATTGAAATTCAAAGAGGTTAAGTAACTTGCCAAAGACCATAGTAAGTGCTAGAGCATAGATTTAACCCTGTCGTTTGTACCAAAATGTATTCATTGCAATAAAAGAGAATTAACTAAATTTATTTTGAAAAAATTTTAAAATAAATTTATTTATTTAAATTAGTTTCAAGTATACAGTACATTGGTTAGACATCTATAATGTTCATAAAACAATCCTCCAATGGCTCCCTCCTTCTCTCAGCCCTCCACTTAGCCATCGTATTAATGTTAACTGCATTCTCTCTTCCATGCTCCCTGTGCCCAACTATCAACTACTAATTTGTACTTCTTTAACCCTTCACCCCATTCTCCCAGCCTCCCAACCCCCCTCCCCTCTGTCCCTCACCAAATCGTGTAAAATCATATGGCATTTATCTTTCTCTGTCTGACTTATTTCACTCAGCATAATAACGTCTAGGTCCATCCATGTCGTTGCAAATGGTAGGATATCATTTTTTTTAATGACTGAGTAATATTCCATTGTATACACGAACCATAACTTCTTTATCCAGTCACCTATTGATGGGCATTTAGATTGCTTCCATATCTTAGCTATTGTAAATTGTGCTGCCATGAATATTGGGGTGCATGGATCTTTATGAATATTTGTTTTGGTTTTCTTTGGATCAATACCCAGAAGTGCAATTGCTGGGTCAAAAGGTATATCCATTTTTAATTTTTTTGAGGAACCTCCATACTGTTTTCCATAGCAGCTGTACCAATTTGCAATCCCACCAACAATTAGGAGGGTTCTCTTTTCTCCTCATCCTCACCAACACTTGCTGTTTTTTAATTTATTGATGATAGCCATTCTGACAGGTGTGAGGTGATATCTCATTGTGGTTTTAATTTACATTTCTATGATGATTAGCGACCTTGAGCATCTTTTCATATGTCCGTTAGCCAACTGTATTTCCTCTTTGGAAAAGTATCTGTTCAGGTCTTCTGTCTATTTTTTAATTGGACTGTTTGTTTGTTTGTTTTTATTTTTAAATTTTATGATGCATGCTTGAACAAAAATAAATATCTTGCTTTATTTTTATTAATACACATCAACAAAAGGAGAATGTATTTTTACTCCATGTTTGCTTTTCTCCTTATAGTGAGGGAAATTCTGAAGCATCTGGATAATTTCTTACCAGATTTCATATTCTTTAGAGCTGTAGTCATTGAAGAATAGAAACTTGACATGAAACTATACCTATTTAAAGTGTTGTCTTTTAGAATAACCAAGTGAGACAATAGATATGGACATACTTTGAAAGATACAGATATATGATATTGTTATGATTGCTGTCGCATGCAGTACTAGTTAGGAATGGTAATATTCTGCCCTAGTGCAGAGAAGTGAAGGAATCGGCACTAAATTCCAAGCTAGCTTTTTTAAATAGTTCACCACAGTTAAAGGATTTGTGCTCAACTAGAAAAAGGCATTTCAACCATTTATTTTAGGACAAGAAAAAAATGCTGTATAGGGTGTATAAAATCAAGTTGATGATCTTGTAGTTAGAAGGTGCTGTTTTTATCCTCTAAATTCTTTAAAAAGCGTGTTCTTTTCTTGCAACTAAGGCCAAACTCTTTGTGTCTTTTGGTTCTTTTTTTTTTTTTTTTTTGAGACTCAGAATTCATCATTTATACAATTTGTTTTCCAGACTCATTTATACTCCGTGCTGGAGCAGCTTAAGTTAGAGGAAAAACAAAAAAACGAGCAGGTAAGAAGTGTGTTTTCAAATCAACCAGAAAACATTTGATACGAAGAATACCCCACCCTACCCTCAATCTCGTTTCTGGCTCTTCTTTACAGAAATTGTAATGGCCAAATCTTCTAAACGAGGGTAGCAAGCTGTAACAAGGTCTTTGTGAAAATTCACTTATTTAACAGATATTGAATGCCTATTACATGAAAAGCCCTGGATGTACATACAGTGTTGAATAAGACAGATACAATACTTGTCCTCATGGAGCTAACAGTCTAGCAGGGAAGATAGACAGTAAACAAATTATCATACAGATTTAAAGGTGTGAATCGTGAAGAAGTGCTGTGAAGTAGAAAAAGTCAATGGTGCTATTTGAATAGAGTCTTGAATTAAATGGGGAGAGGAGTCATGATCAGCCTTTCTGAGGATGTTATATTTAGGCTGAGATCTGAGGTATAAGTGCAGGCAAAGAGGGAATGAAGAGCTTCTTGGATGGAGCCCGTGCCAGGTACCACATTGGGAAAGAATTTGGCCTCTTTGTGGACCTCTGTAGTATTTAAAACAAGGATGAGGTTGGAGAGGTAGGCAGAAGCCATATTGTATGGTCCCTTGCAGGCCATGATAAGGAGGATGGGTTTTATTCTTTAGTGCAATTGAAGCCCTTGAAGAGTTCTAAGTAGGAGACCCACATTTAATTTAAACTTTTAAAAGATCACTGGTCCTTATCTGGAGAATGGATTGTAGAGGGGCAGGATTAGAAGGAAGGCCAGTTAGGAGGCTGGATAGTAGTCTAATAAGAGATCATGATAATTTGGACTAGGGTGGTGGGAATAGAGCTAGAAAGGATATATATTTTTTAACTGCAATAAAAAGGTTTTATAACAGCTTTATTGAGATATAATTTACAAACTCTACAATTTACCCATTTAAATTGTATAATTCAATGACTTTTAGTTTATTCACAGAATTGTGCAACCATCACCACAGTCAATTTTAGAACATTTTCATTATCCCAAAGAAAACTGTACCCATTAGCATTCATTTCCCATTTCTTCTGGATCACTCTCCCCTCACCCCTAGGCAACCACTAATCTACTTTCTACTAGTCTACTTTGTCTATTTTGGCTATTCTATATAAAAGAAAACATATATAGTCTTTTGTGTCTCACTTCTTTCACTTAGCATAATGTTTTCAAAATTAATCCATGTTGTGGTATATATCAGTACTTCATTGTATGTCTGAATAATATTTCACTGTATGGATATACCACATTTTGTTTATCCACTCATCCATTGACGGACATTTGGGTTGTGTCCACATTTTGACAGTCATAAATAATGCTGCTACGAACATTCACATGTGAGAGAATGCATTTTAAAGGTAGGGTTGATGGGACTTGGGTCAATTACTGGATGTTGAAGGAGAAGGAAATGTTAAGGTTGTGTGCCAGGTATCTAACTTGAATGGCTATTATTTAAAGCCACAAGGGAGTGAGCAGAGTAAAAAGAGAATAGGGAAGTGTGTGATAAGTGAAGGTCAAGTAGCTGTATAGAAAATGTATGCTGACTCCAGCCTTATGCTGTTGAGGGTAATAATTTTAAAGAGACTGGAGGTCGTATTATGAATATGGGCTTAGCATGGGTCTCTTAAGGTAGAGATAATGGTGTACCCTATTCCCATCCTCATCCAGCAAGGCCAGGGGAATTCTTAAGTTCCATATATTCCCCTCCCCTCAGTAAATGACATATCCAAGTACTGTTTATAAATAACCATTTGAACAGTTAATGCCAAGATTGCTTTATCACCCACTAAACATCTTTGTTATCATCAATGTAAGTAGTTAGTATTGGGGAGTGCTATTATCAACATAGAAAGATAGCTGTAAACTTTATTCACTCAGAGCCCTTTATATTAGCCCATTTATTCAATGAAGATTTATTGGGTGCTACTTTAAGCTAGGTTCTGCAGGAAGCTACAAAATATTTGCAACTGAATCTCTGCCTTCAATTGGGGAGAGATCCATGAAAGGGATAGGAATTTAAAGGAATGAGAGCTCACTCTTGCCCATGGAAATTAGGGAAGACTTCATGGAGAGATGGTGTTTGACTGGGGCCTTAAAATATAAGTAGGATTTTAATAAGGAGATAGAGAAAGGAGGACATTCCATACAGAAAGTTGCAATCACAGTGGCTCAGAGGTGGTGATGCCAGGCTAAAGAGTTTAGATTTTTGATGTAGTTCATAATGAACCACCACAGCTTTTTTTTTTTTGACATGGGAAGTAATGCAGGAAGATTTCTCTGCCAGAAGTATATAGGATAAATTTGAATAGAGAAAGACTAGAGGAAAGATGCAAGTAATAGAAGGAATCAGAACTCAACAATTGATTAGATTCATAGGATAAAAAGGGGAACAAAGAGGAGTCCAAAGCCTGGGCAACTAGAAAATGGTATGCCACTAACTGAAATGAAGACAACAGGAAAAGAATTATTGGGGATGGGGAATGGAGAAAATGATGAGTTGAGTTGGAAGCATGTTGACTTGGAAGTACTTGAAAATGGGAGTTTGGAGAATGGCTCATGTGTAGAAATGATCACTGAAGTTGTAAGGACAGGTGAAGTAGCCAGGTTGAGTGTTCAGCAATAAGTCTGAACGCAGGGAAAATTTTCCCTTTAGAGGGTGCTGGGAGGAGAAAGAGCCCATGAAAGAGAAAGAATTGGAGCAGTCAGTGGTTGTAATCATGGTCAGAATCCAAGTGAAAAGAACCTCTAAATTACTGCAAGTGGGAATTATAACAGTTTTCAGTAGGTGGTGTGCAGTATAGGATCATTTTGTAATGCTCCATTCTTTCTATTTCACAGAATGAAAATCTACACTGGTATGGAGCTATCTAAATTGAATAACATTCAAAAACCACCTTTGTCCCAAAGACAGTATACCTCTCTGAGTGTTATTGATCATTTTGCCATTTCAAGTAAAAAATAAAATAAATCCTACACCACAAAAGGTTCAGGGCTTCTGACTCAGAAAGCATCGGGATAAGTAGAACACTGTCAGGCTTCTGACTGGTCAAGACTCTGAACCAGTTTCCAAGTATCTCATAATGTTGCAAGTAGCAGCAGCTAAGACCCTGTGTGTTCATTGAGACAAGAGGCTCTCCCAATTGCCTTATCTTCTGACTCTTAGAATATGGCTACAGTGATCCTATCCCAATTGCCCCTACACTGAGCTGTGACCTCTGTACACTCTTCCCAGAAGTACAAATTCTTAACAGCAAGCATATTTAATTGTTTTAGCATATTCAATTTTAAAGCTTCCTTTGATAAGTTTGGCATAATAAAGGACAGTATCATGGCCACAACATTGTGTATGCATTCTTGACTGCAGCACTGTTCTTTGGAACACCACAAGACTAAGATTAACTTATAAATGCCAAATTACAGTAGTTCTTTTTGGTTCATATAAATAAATTCTAGATCGATAATGGAGCTTAAGATTTCAGATGAATTTTTCTTGTTTTTTGTTTTTTGGTTTTTTTGCCTCTCCCTACAGATCATTTCCCT